AAAGTAGGAGAATGCAATTTAATTTTTCTTTCTCTAGATATTCGACTTTTCACCAATACTATGTAGTCCGGCACCTTAATATATATATATTAATAATTTTACACTATAGTTACGGTGAAGACAGTTTTCATCCAGTGACAATTCTGTCATGAATTTTTTTTTGCGTATCTGTTAACCGACTTAATTAGTTGATTATTAGCGAATTGCTGTGTTATGTCTGTCATCGTTTAGGCCTATTTAAAGTTTGAGTTGGTCTTGGGGAGCACAGCACGATAGACGCAGTAGAGAGAGTGCAGTCCTGGAGAGTCGAGTCGAGTCCTGGAGAGCCTTGGGCGAGTGTTGACGCAGTCTAAGAGAGACTTGGGTCAGCCTTGTGATAGTCTTGGGGACTTTTCCCCAGGGCGCTGTGTCTTATAGAGTGCTCGATTGACCGACTAAGACGAGAGCTGAAACGTATTTCGTTGTGTGTGCCTTTTTTGACTGTAAAGCTTAAGTGACTTTCCCGATCCCGTACCTCAAGGGGACGCGATAGAGAGACGAGACGAGATTCCCCCGACAAGTGTGGAGAACCCCCGAGGAGAAGAATTACCCCCTGATAATTCACATATTAGTATAAACTTTCGTTTTGTAGGGCAAGGACAATTATGTATTTGTGTATGGGAACAAACGAGCCTTGTGATTATCAACGCCCTTCAAGTATTGACATGGGCACAGTAGGGACTGTGACAAGCGAGACTATTGGTAAAGGGAACGTCACGTGATCAGCGTCAAGTATCGGAATCCGAACAAGATGTACATGTACAGACAGATAAAGCGAACGTCCTAAACTCACTTAAACTCAAATATTTTGTTTAACGAGTAAAAATATCAATATCTCAGGTAGTCACGGAAACAGACTGTCTCGTTGTCATTGCAATTCCGTCGTTTCATGCTTATATTTGCAGAAATGTTCAAATGTTAAAGGCCGACAGTCGTCGTGTCGCGTCCTGTTCATATGGGACTCATACGACGTATACAACGTGTGTAAAATACATTGTTTATTTACATGAAATTCGAACACGAGCTGCGCGACGACCACCGCGCTTTAACGTAACAACTTGTGCTGACATTACATTTGTCGCAGTGGTAACAACTCAATCGGACGATCCAAAAGGTGTACCTATCCGTGTTGAGCGTATCATTATACAAGTTTGACTGAAGTTTACCTCGGATTGCACGTTTGTTGACACAAAAACCCGGAGTGGCTCGTCCAGGGCATTAGCCACGTCGTTATAATAAAGTAGTTATTCGAGAGGAGATCGAAACAATATGGCCTGGTTATTACTTTTAGTGGACACTGCATCAACTGACAGTAGGCTAGGTATTTCTGATATTCGTTTCCATTGAAATAAGTCTTACTCTAGCCTAGACACTAATACCTGATTCAATAATCAATAAATTATTAATATCAAGAAGAGGAACATCCAGAAAAAAGGATGTCATATTATTGAGATATTACCACCATTTTCGTTTGTTTAAAATGTCTATCAGAAATAGCAGTTTTAGAGACAACATGTGCATGCGCAATGGACACTTATGGAGTGCTACATGACATGCGCAATGGACACTTATGGAGTGCTACATGACATGCGCAATGGACACTTATGGAGTGCTACATAACATGCCATGCACAGTAATTCTACGATTTCACTGTATTCAATACACAGCGTGTTTCTATAACTTGCCTAGCAACGGCCTAGCAACAATCAACAATAAGACATATATAAGGCGTGTTTACCGTGGAAGTGCAATATAGTTCGGAGACGCCTAGTGAGAAACAACCTCGCAAAACAAACCAACTATGTCGACTTTTTTCGTTCTCGTATTGATAGTTCTATCCGTCAATAATGGTAAGTAATGTTCGCGACTCTTTGTTTAAAGTGTTTTTTTTCTCTCTCCAGTTAGCATGCGATAGCTTTAATGCTTAGGTTTGGTGACTTATGTTTATACCTGCTGTAGATTTCACTATCAGAATGTAGAGTGCGTTGGTATATCCTATCGTTTTATGCACACTATATTAATTGTATTAATTTTATTAATTTCTTCCAAATTTAAAAAATTACTCACATTATTGACTAAAACAAATACAGAGAAACGGCGAGCAAAGCAACGGTGATGTATATCGAACATTTCCCGAAATTATTAATTTTCTTGGCCAACAAGTAAATCACGTTATTTTTGCCCATAAACAACAAAAGCAAACATGAAATCAAGATCGATCGTGGATTCAAATCATTTGACCCGAGCTCCACCCGTTCATAACGTAGTACACATTCATTGAAGCCTCTTGCGTTTGCCGACTGTTTTAGTATGCGTTGTCATGGTAATGAGTTGGGGGTTTCACTGCTGTGTTCAACTTCAATAAATGGGCCAGATGGTGAACAATTCTCCAACAATGCCGCTAAATACAAAGATCCCCTATATCAATCTTTTATACAGAATCCGTTTACAAGCAACGACAAAGCTTATTCAAGTTCTGTCTTCAAGATGGGTGGGGTGTGGCAATGATGCCACTGATAATAACAATAACACTCTGGCAACGTCATTTATTCATTCATTCATTATTGATGTATTTATTTATTTCATTTTATTTATACAAAGCAATCAAACATTAAAATGAATTGGATTTCTTAATCTTGGTAGAAATAATAATGTAAGATTCATCGTACCCCAGGCGCTGGAAGTTGTAATGTTCCGGACGGACGGAACCTTACAACCTCCAGCGCCTGGGATAGATTCATCGTAACATTATAAAAATATTGATGTCAGTTATTATATGTATTCTTTCATTTGATTCAGTTTTGTCGCTGGAATGCTACAGGTGCGCCCAGCAGTACACAGATGATGATCAACGCATAGCAAATGATAACGGCGACTGCTTGGAACAATACTCCTGCGACGACACGGACCTGTTCGATAACGGGCTTATCAAGCATGTTACACTAGTATCGACTACCGAAGTAAGTACTGATATCATCCCTGTCATACTGTAAAACTATTTATTTCACTGGCATTATTTTTCACGATTTTGATATTTTAGCAATTTAAGTTCACAAACGTGGCAATGAGAAACAATGAGTTCTATTGTTATTATACATGCTCATGTGGATTAAGTATAGCGAATTTGATTTATCAACGAAAATAGCGAAATTAAAAACTAGTGAACAATTAATGCTTTTACAGTAAACCGGCGGGCTATTGGTTGCCATACTATTGAATTTCGACACTTGATCCGTGAACTACTAGCCTGGATTTACTTCACCTTGTATAGTTATATAATAGCATTTTACTATCATCGTTGCTAGGGGTAGGGAATAGGTGTTTACAACGTCGCATAATTCTATATTATCATATTTAAGTATATGTGTTAATTCTGTAGAAGACGTTGGTAAGCTGCAGATTGAAAAGGGATGTTTTAGACAAGGCTACAACCAATTCTCTTATCAAGATTGCGAGACCTACGCTGCGGCTAAGGAAGTGAACTACCACTGCAACACCGACTACGAAGTTTGGGGCTGTTATTATTGTTGTACGACTGATCTCTGCAACGACAGCGGTGTTGGTACAGTAACGTGCAGTGCAGTTAGTCTTCTGTTAGCACTGACGGTATACTTGATGCATTCTCTTTAAAGGGATACACGAAATGTAGGGTGACACCTCTGTTTTCAGTTTACGTTTTTTTTGTTTCGAGTAACTGACACTGTAGAATAGAATAGAATAGAATAAGAATTCTGAGACACGTCGCTGTTAGTCCGGACCTTGTCCAATAGTGAATTGCCTTGGTCATCGCCGCCAGTAGGAGTCTTAAATTGGCACATCTACAACTTGATAAAAGAGGAGGGGTAATGACAAACACAGATAGCTCGATTGATGGGTGTTTCGAATGTATACGCTTAGTTGACTGATACATTAATACAACTTGTTATTTTTTTTACCATCACGAGTGTCTTCTCCTAGTTGATGACATTTACCGCTCGTTGGGCATTAGTCTTCCAAACTATGACAGCGCCCCCATCGCTAGATTGAACGCAAACTGATTTCCTCTAAAGTGCCCTCTTTCCTAGAACGTTTTTTTTTACGAATCATCAATAGACTAGTCGCCAAAATCTATTTTTATATTTCTCAAGAATTAGCAAATAAATAAAATAAAACCATGTATATTATGTGTGTCCTTATTCCGCATTATATTACCATAAAAAAGTTTATGATAGTGGTATTTTGAGACAAGTCAATGAAAATAAATCAGATGTGGAGGTTTCCCCTCGGGGGGGGGGTCTACTTGCATAGAAGTTCAATACGGGTATGTGCCGCCCGACTGGGGTCTCATTTCACGTTATTTTGTTTAGAAGTGGGTGGGCATTTATCAATGTTTTGGTTTAGAAGGATGTAGCATTTATTCACTTTTTCACAGGTCTTTATATTCAAAGCCAAATACTTTTTTGCTAGAAGTGGGTATATATATAGAAAAAAATGGTTTAGAAGTGAGTATGGTTTACGACACACCCTTACCCACTTAATGTGGAAGTAGCCCCCCCGGAGGTTTTCCAACTTACTATCTTGGCAGATCATACTTTGAGTGAAAAACACCCGCACCAATTATGGATAGGTACAGAAAACTAGCCAGATTTCCAATAAAGAAATTATTGTCAGAATACATCAAATAAAGCAACATCAGAACATAAAGAACCATCGTCCGACATCGCGGTTTCCGTTCACCCGTCGCTTCACACACAGGCAGTTGCTGGGACATTATACATTGACAATTCAAGATGATAAGCAACTAAAAACACAATGGTACAGGGGTAATAACATTCGAGGTGGCTAATATGAACCAAAAACAAATAATTGATATCAATAAAATCGAAATCACTAAACTAAAAATTCTCAATGGCAAACTA